TTGCTTTATATTTGAACTATAAAATCGAAATTATATCACTTGCTTTAACAGAAATTTGACTATACTTTATATCTGCCAGGACTTTAAACACATGCATGCTCTAATTCTATCTGCTTTAAGACTACATCTTTTTGCAGCTATCAAATAGGTTCCACTGAAAACTATTGGAATGCTGGTTGCTTTATTAATCATCAAAATCAACTTATTAGTTAATGTAATGTTAATAATTAAAATAATAATTCATACACATACCCAAAATTGCGAGGTGTCTCTAGCAATTTTCGCTAAGTGAGGATATACTACCTCATACATTTATCTAACAAAATTATATAACGTAATCAATATTAATGCGTAATCGATATGTGATCAGTGATTTTAATGATCATCTGGGTCTAATTCAGGTCAAAACTCGAGTCAAGGAAATGAATGACCCGACCTGACGGGTCGGGTCATGCGGGTCACGGGTTATTAAAATTGTTAGTACTGATCCGATTTAAAATTTACTCGGATTGAATTATCCGGGTTAGACCCGAATTTTGCGGAGCACTATGTATTATGAAATATTCTTTTTATAAATTACAATTTTTGTGAAGAAATTTCTTAATAAATTATCTAATTCTTGTTCAAGCGCTTCATAACAACAAATTGGATAACGAAAACAGTGTTAATTTTTCACCGAGAATATTATAACATAAAACTTCACACTAAATTATTGAGCAGTCACTTACGATGATGTCCGAGGTTAAACATCTTTGAATACCGACTGTATATAAAAAAAATCTTGCTGAGAAATATTGTAATCATTTGATACATTCTATCTGTAAAAAATTTTTCTTCCATTTAACCCCAACGCTGAATATAATTGTTTCAAGTATACCTGCTTTAGTCAAATACTCGATCTATTTCTAAAGAAATTTCAGAATTTCAAGAACAACATGGAAGAAAAAAAGAGTTGGTCTTAGTGTTGTTTAAGTAACGTTCTAATTATTTGAGGGTACATAGGCTAACCCTCCGGAAAGGAGTAAATAAGAGGGAAGAGACGACAAGAGTTGGAAGAGTGAGAGAGAATTTTTTTTAAATTAAATAAAGAGGCCAGTTATAGAGTGAGAGTATAGATATTTCCCACGAGACTCACTCATGATGATCATGCGGCACACGAAAAGAGCACAACTAATACATTCAGATGATAGATGATACTTTTTTCGAATGATAAATTTTTATTAGAAAAGTAAAAATTCTATTGTTATTAAGTGTAATGTTTGTAAAATGAAATAAGCTTTTAATGTAAAAGTTAAAATCAACAAGAACATTTTCGGATATTCTAAATTTGGTTAATTAACCGTTATCATTAAAATATTTAGCAAATTACATATTTAGCTGTTGGAAGATTAATGCTGTTACCGTAATACTAGTTTGCAATCTGGGACGCATTATAGTCAAATTAGTTTTATTTAAAATAACATTAACCTTAGCGTCAGCTTCATGCTAAAAAAAATACACTCATAGTCATGACTAGAAATAAATACTATATCATGTGTTTTTTTCGTTAGTGATTTCGTCTTTCGTTTTGCTTGAGATTGCAATCATTTTTTAAAAGTATTTAAAAATTCGAAGCTTAATTTGAAATAATTGACGTCAAACTTTAAAAATTTTATTTTTTTTAGCAAGTGTACTTCAAACTTTTGTCAGTTAAATTACTGAATACCAGAGAACCAAACTTTTTCATTCTAATAGTAGATAACCACCTTGATTTATCGAGGGGATGGTACCCAAATTTTGCTGCGTTACAAAGATGAATTAACTCATCACCTTAATAAAATATATTAGATTTATATCTTTATTCAAAAAAAAAAACAAAAATTTGACGGATTTTTTCAAAATTATTTGCTTTATATATATATATTTATATATATATAAAGTGTTAGAAAATAAGGTAAATTATTACAAAAGATAATAAAAAATAAAATATAATAATAAACTTTATTATTAATAATCGAATGAAGTAATACATAAATATAATAATTTAAAAGTAAAACAATAATATGAGGTAAAGAATATATGAAAATAAGAAAATTATTAAGTTACAAAACTTAGAGTTAACCAGAAGTTCTCGGCTTATTTTTATTGAATAATACTGAACGTACTACAATACACCGAGATAGTCGCCAGTTTTATGGCAGATCTCACCATACTGGCATTTTTTACATAAATCACGTTTATGATGGTTGATCTCCGCCGCTTCCTCTAAATGTTCGTATTCCAATAGTCTGTTTCCAGATTGCTTACAATCGTAGCAACTTTGCATGTAAAAATCAGTTCGATTCAGATACTCTGCCGGAATTTCATCTATGAATTTACGGAGTTTTATCCAAGTATATGAACTTGACCAATCATTAAAGCAACGGTAGTAATTTTTACACGTCCACTTTCCAAACACTCTGTAATGGTTATTCCATACGAGATGGCAAATGATCTCGACGGTTGGAATTTGAGGTTGAATTTCTACCAATTTTTCTACTGGTGGTGATGTTGGTTCTAACGGGGAACAGGGAGTAGGAGCTAAATTCGGACTATTACTTCCTTCACTCTCATCTTCCTATTAAGATAATTTGTAATTAATGAGAATTTGTGAAAAATAAAATAATTAAAATTAATTTGACCTACATACATACCTGTGACGTATACAAATGAAAGCTTGAGATCTGACACCTTTTCCCGCATTCTTTGCAATCCTTTCTAAAAAATTCGTACTGTTGTTCATTTTGTGGTTTTTTTAGGTACTCTTTGAGTAATTCCTGAGTGTATTCCTCACTTTTCCAATCATTTAAACATAGCCATTCCCGTTGACATTCCCGTTCAGTTTTGCATTTTTGATTATGTTGACATAACCACTTGTTATTTCCTAGCCAACTATATTCACATTTCGCATCGTGTTTCTGTTGACATCTACAAATTTCATTCTCACATTGCCACTTACTTTCATTTGGTAATAGATATTCACATTTCCAATCATTTTTGGATTTACATTTACACTCTTTGATTCTACATCGGAACGTACTCCATAGGCCTTCACACTTAGGTTTATGTTGACATTGCCATTTATGTCGAGATTGCCATTTGAATCGGCAATCGAAATCCGTTTTACATGATGGTTCATGCCGACATTTCCAAGACCGACAAAGCCAATAACCATAAATTTGGTACTTATTGTTATCAATCAGATGACGAACGATTTTGGTAATCTATAATAGACAAGGAATTATATTACATTTAGAAAAAGTGAATAGATCATTTATTACTAATATATAAAATGAAATACTACAAACCGAGCACAATTCCTTATATTCGTTTGATTTTCACTTTAGAAGATGAAAACTTGAGATCTGACATTTATTATTGCATTTTAAACACTTCTTCCGGACAAGATCTCTTGCTCCTAAATATTCCCAATCACATGATTGACACGACCAAATGCCACGCACTTTGTACTCTTCATTATGGAGTAGATTTTTTAGGTGAGGGATGATTCGGTAACCCTGCAATGAACAAATGTTAAAATTACATTTTAAAAACCTCAAAAAATTTCTTAATTTGACTAACAATCCTATAATTTATAAAATATTCCGTCTGTGGTTCGTAAGAAGATGTACGTAAGGAAATCTATTGAATAATAAAGTTATCAGTTACCTAAATTATTAATTAACCTTATTACATAACAAACGTGCTTATCGTACATTAAAGATCTCGGCCTGTTTATTGCAATTCAAACAATAGTACGTATTTTTCTCTACTAGATCCCTAAATGAATCTGGAGAATAAGTATCTGAGCATCGACATAACCAACTGACAACCACATTATCATATTCATTTTTCTGGGTTACTAGGTTTTTTAAGCTTTCGTTAATCTAGTACGAGTGAGAAAAAAATATTTGAATTTTTTTTAAATATTTTTATTAAAATACGGTAAGTAAAAAAAAATTTTTTGACCAACTTTTTGTTCATTTATAATATTTATAAAATATTCGTCTTTTTTTTCCGCAAGAAAATTCTGCTAAATTATCAAGACGTTTTGGGTTATCATAATTTGTAAAAAAAAAAAAAAAAAAAAAAAAATTCCATCCAATGCAAATATGATAAATTAAACATACCATTTTATTCTGTTATAAGTGTTGTTATTTTTTTTTTTCATATAAAATGTAAACTGATCGTGAAGGAAATAAAAATCGCAAATATAAGGATAAAAAGTCACTTAAATATTTGAAAAAAAATATTAAAATTATTTAAAGTATGATCTACAAAGCCTTTAACCAAATGACCTGGTCATTTGATCATTTTATTTATGATACCATTTTTTATAATGGGTAAGATTGAATGTCATTTGACTGATATTTGTCATTAATTTTAATTTCTGATGTTATTTTCATAAATTTTAAGTTAGTAGTTAAATGATAATCTCCAAAACGTTGAATAGCAAAAAGATGATCTTTGTGAGACGGGTAAAAGGTTAACTTTTTGCAATTTTAATTAAAATTTCTCCTATATTTACTTTTTATATTGATGTCTTATTAATAAGTTACTACTTATGGTAATTTCAATCGCGTGAAATAATAATATAACGTGATCTGGGTCTGGCTCATTTCCACTTACCCTAACCTTATCCTAACTCTAATCTTATCTAAATTCCTTACCTAGCAATCCTAATTTTCTTAACTCTAATCCTAAATTCCCTTGTCGGTGAGATGAAACATTTGTCTGTAAAATGATCCTGTCGGTGTAACGTCTGTCGGTGAGATAATTGTCGGTGAAATGATTATCGGTGAAATGAATGCGACTCATGATCTAAGAAATATATAATGAAATATTTTCGTTCATATGTTAATATTATTGTAAGCTTTGATTTCATTGCGTAATACAGAGTTGTTTATAACCAAATGGAAAATACCAAATAACATTCATTTGTCATTTCGAGTAATTTATCACAACTCACAACACTAGTTTAATTCGATTTTAACAAAAATCAGAAATATTTTTTGACAGTTCAAAAAGTGTATATTAAGTTTGTTTGTTAATGCATTTCAACATCACTAACTGTTTATTCACACCTTTACAAGCCGTTTGATACAAGTTAAAGTGGACTTCGAATAGTGGTTTTCAATTTTCTTGTTCAAAAAGTTATTTTTTTTTGTTGGCTGCAACTCATAAAAGGGGCCAAGTAGAACGAGGCGTTGATGCTTGATGGGATGCGATAACACAGACTCGGGAAATACAGAGAAAGCTCGCCTTTCGTTAGGAGAGGCTCGTCTTATGGCCTTTGGATTTGGGAATTTTTCGTCGGTTTTTTTCCGGTTGGCGTAGCAAAAATGTTAGCACGCGAAGCGGAATACAAATTTGGAAATAAAAGATTTTTGAGGAACGAATGAGATGACAAGAAAATGAGGTGATTTGTTGTCACAACAAATTTTCGGTCCAGCATAAAATTTAGCCGCCATCACTCGCAGCAAGTCACGCGAAGAGGATAGGAATAGATTTGATTGGCATGTATTCTCAAGTCACGTGAATTCACGTTATAAAAATTTCGAGAAACAAAGTTAAATTCCTGGTTGTGGGTTGTAGGTTTAGTTTAGGTATTAGAGATATTGAGAGTTTGGGATAAAAATAGGATAGTTAAAGCTAGTCACGGGATGATAAAGTAGGGGGTCGAGTTTAATTTCGCCGCCAAAATTCGTTATTCTACATGCCGCTCAAGGAGTAATGCATACGTAACAACTGCATAGTAGAGATTAAGCTCTTTAGGGATTCACCGCTAGATTCTCGTGAACGGTTTTAGTAGATTAGCAAGGAAAGGTTTTTGTAGAATTGATCGAGAAATGAAATGCGTTTATCAAGTATCTATCTGGGATAGTAAGTAGTTAGGATTCATACTCTCGCGCAAAAATTAAAAGAAACACAAAAAGATGGCATAACCGCGGGCATGTGATGAAATGCAGTTAGTTCGGATGAGTAGAACTAGGACAAGGGTTCATTAGTTGTTGGGTTATACTAAATACATAAAGAAATCTTTTCTAGAAAAAATTTTGGATTAGCTGATTTTTATTAAGTTTATCTCATTGTTTATAATACATTAATCTTTTTTTTTTACTTACTTTTTCGCGAATAAATGTTTTCAGGAAAATAAAGTTATTTATTTATTGCTTAACAATTAATATCAATTACTTGAATGTTAAAGTGATAATATCCTGGAAAGAAAAAATCCCTAAAATTGATTTAAATTTTATTTTCATTGCGTGATGAATATTTTTTATAAAAATGTTAATCGAAGTGAAACGTCAATGGAATTCAGCGAAATGGACGATTCGGTGAAATGGATTCAATAAAATGCACTTTCGGCAAAATGTCCTTTTGGCGAAATGTCCCTTCGGTGAAACTTCCCTTCAGCGAAATTGCTTCGGCAAAATGTACCATTACCTGGAAATAAAATACTATCTATATTATAAAGAGTAATTGTTAATTTTTTGTTTTTTAATGAGCGAAAAATTAGAAAGAATACGTTAAGCAAATTAATTACACTTGAGAATATTAAATATTTTATGTATTAATATATACATTTTACGTAATGTATTACCAATAAAAATATGCAATACACCTATTGTAAATACTTCATATAAAACTTCTTTATTTTTTACTAAAATTTCTAAAAAAGAACTAAACATATTTAACTTAATTAAAGTTAACTATACTGAATACTGTAGAATGGGAATTTTTATTGAACAAACTAGAAGTGAGAATAATAAACAAAAAGAATCAAAGCAGGGAATAAAAATAATTATGAAGCCATGAAATACTATGAATGATAATGAATTTTAATGATAGAAAATTTACATAAATTATAAATTTTTTTTATGACGTAAATAAAATATAATATTGTATATTGTTTTTAAACATGATATTTTATCAAAAGATTTTATATATATTTTTGTATTGTTCAAATTATTTATTTAATTAAACAAATACTACCAAAAAAGTATTATCTATGAAAATATTTACTTTTAAAAGGCTATATTTGGCAATGGACATTTAATAAAATGAATTTTATTATTTAACCGAGTTCATTGGTTAGTACGACCATATATCAAATATCAAATAAAGTTAAGCAATATTTCACTTTTCGCAGGTTTTACAACAAAATAATATAATAATCCTAATAAATTCTTTATTGGCCTTTACCAACTTTATTCATGCATTTTATTATAAATAACTATGCATTAGAGATCACAATACAATAATTAAGCTAAATTAACTATAATTTATTACTATTACCCTTAAAGCTTTAAATATTTTTTTTAATAAAATTATGCCGAGTTAATTTAGCCGCAAAAGGTTCAAATCTAGTTGGTATATTAATGTTCTTTCCTATGGCAAGCCGAGTTGGACAAAATTATCAGACATTGCGCGATAAAATATCAAGCATGGCTAGACAAAATGTCACTCCGTGTCTGACATTTTACCTGTTTATGCTTGATTTTCATCTGTCCCGTGCTTGATATTTATCTGTATGTGCTTGATATTTTTATCTGTTCATGCTTGATGTTTATCTATCACGTGCTTGATATTTTTATCTGTTCATGCTTGATATTTATCTGTACGTGCTTGATGGTTTTATCTGTACGTGCTTGATGGTTTTATCCGACCATGCTTGACATTTTTATCCATCCATGCTTTATGTTTTTATCCATCTGTGCTTGATATTTTTGTCCGTCTGTGCTTGATGTTTTTGTCCAACTGTGTTTGATTTAATCCAACTA